GAGAAGCAGCCGGAGCACATGAATCACGCTGACAACCTAAGGAACCTTGATTTGCAGAAGATGAAGGATAAGTAAAAGACAGACATTTTCACAGCCCCTATGGAAACTTTTCTTAGGGGCAGGAAGAGGTCTCCTCTGAAATTCTTTTGGCTGCAGGAATAACTGTAGGAAGGAGAGGGAGCGGCTGGAAGGGAATTAAAACAAAAAACAAAAAACAAAAAACAACCCTAAACAATGCTTGCTGGAGAACCAGAAATAACCTCGGAGGGGCACCTTTTCGATCTATCCCATAACCGGCAATTCTACAGTAAGACCCTGTGATGCTTCGAGGTGTCAGGGTTAGAAGGTTGGATGGAACACTCCTTTTGGAACAAGGTCCCCATCCCCAAGAAGCCCAGAGGACACTGAACAGGCAGTTGGGATGGCTTTAGTGAGGGATGGTTAAACTGGGTCTGATGGTGGGTAAGGTTTAAATGGAAGGCAGGGAGTTGGGAGAATGCATGGACCCTGATCCCTGACCGTTCTTCCTTCATTCAGCGGATCCACGCCCGACACTGACTGAGGGGCCACGGGGCCCTGCTCTTGACACCCCTCTCACACTGGGACTCCCACAAAAGGAAAACCACGACCCAACATCAACCTGGATACCTGGGCTGCTTCCCAAATCCCAGAGGAAGGTTCTGGATGGAGCCCTGGTTCTCTTGACCCTGTGGTCAGAGCTGATATTTGCATGTGAGCACTTGGGAAACCTAGTCGACATGCAAATATTATTTTTGATCTCAGAAGCACAGGAGACAGGATGACAGCCAAATTTTAAATACAAGGGGAGAAACCACTGTCTGGCAAATAATAGGCTTTTAATAATGGGCTTGCCCAACCCCATTAGCAAAACCAGACTTTTAGTTAAATCATAGGTTTAGATTTAATTCTATAGTAAATGAATGTTGATTACTTTATTATTTAAAATAAGTGTCTTCTTTTTAAACCATGTCTGTGAATCAAGTCCAGGATGTCTGTCATCACCCCCCACCCCGGCCCCCCGGTCGGCCGGGACGAGGCATCGTGCTCCTACACAAACTCATCCGTGCACGCCATGCGGTTGGGTACTCCCCTCTAGTCCTTCACAAGACTGAAAACTCCCTGAGTTCCGAGCTGCTGTCTCCTCTGCTTGTCCTCCCGAGGGTCGTCGGTGTCTCACTCGGGCCGCTAGAGGCTATCCTGAAGTAACTGGTTAAACTGGATTTAGCAAGAGACACAGGCAAGTTTTACGTTTATCTTTTTCTTGTCTTGCTACAGACAGACCTCGGAGGTGTTGCAGGTTCAGGTCCAACCATCGCAAAAAAGCAAACATCGCAATAAAGCACGCCGCTTGAATTTTTCAGTTTCCCTGTGCATCTAAAGTCATGTTTACACATAATGTCTACTAAGTGTGCAACTGCATTGTGTCTTAAAAACAATGCACATACCTTAATTTAAAAAATGCTTTACTGCCAAAAAGTGCGAATCATCACCTGAGAACACAGGGTGGCCCCAAACCCTCAATTTGTTAAAAACACAATAAAATGAGGTCTGCCTCTACTCCAGTTATCAGGTACTGCCCAGATGTTTTGCTAAAATCATTTCCCTACTACATATGGTGAGTGTTTTGG